CAAAAATCTGTTCTGAATCGAAAAATAAAAAACGTAATAAAACTAAGACATTATTTAATTAGAGAAGCTTTTAATTTATTTTGTAAATAAGACAGATTAAAGACAATATTTTCTGAAGAAAACATGTTTTTTCGATGAAAAATGAATTTTTACAAGATTTGTTTACATTTCTTTTAGAATTTTAAATCGAATAATTTATAATGTTTTTAAATCTTTTAAAATTTAGTTTCAATGTGATATCTTTAAAATATTGTTATTAAGTAAAACTATATTTACTAATCATATATTGGAAAGCTTATTACAATCTGACGACCTCGAAGTTTTTAAAAGAATTTCGATTTGTTTTTGTATGTAGTTATACGTGCAGAATTTCTAAGTACTGATGTATAAACCTAACATTATTATTAAAAAGTCACTATTTTAAGGGTTGTCTTCCCTCACGGAACTAAAAAACCCTCGTATGGGCTGTATCGTCTGTTTCACCATACTTAACTATGAACACGTTCGGCGGTCATTCGATTAACACGCCAGAAAAAAACCCCAAAAAACAAAAAACAAGATCGATGTTTTTCGATAGACTGAAAGTATACTGATAACAAAACAAGAAAAACTTTATTTTTTCAATAGACTGAAAATATACAAATAACAGGACAAGGAAAATGAAAGGAAAGAATATTTGTTTTCTTTTCTCTCTCCACAACGGGATTGAGATGCCGACGATGTCTAGCGTAGAAGCCATCTGTTTTTGGTCAAATTAATATTAAGTGATGGTATTTTCTTAAGTGTCCAATCAGCCCCGCGTATCAGAATAGATTATAGTTTAACGACCTCAAGCACCGAAAAGGGAACGAGATAAAGCGCCAGTGAGTCATTTGTTGAACGAAGTAGGTATTAGGAGGGTTACCCACGAAGGCTAACAGCAAAATTCGGCCAGTTGATAAGACTTGGATTTTAAGACCGACGTGTTTCCAAAGGAAAACAGGAATGGAATTGTAGTTATATTTCTTTTTCGTCTGCCAAAGAAACAAAGGAATTGTCTCTTTTTGTCACTTGTTGACTAAAGAGCAGGCAAGGAGAAGCGACAGATGACAAATCCCAGATGCAACCGATCCCACAAGGATGCGATAAGAACTTCCCGCTGATAAAAAATTTGAATGATAATTGAATTCATCAATTTGGGCTAGACCACGCCTAGCCTCTGGCAACAGGTTTGATCAGAAGACAAAGAGAGCGATAAATTTCAAGACAGAATTTCAAGGAAGGGGGAGGAATTGCCTGCACGCTTCGAGCGGTGAAGTTAAGAGGCATCCACGAGAGATAGAAGGAGTTGGGTGAATCGATATTTTGACATCACCACTCTTGGGGAGGAGGAATTTCCCCAAATTTGGTCAGGCAATCAATTTCCCAACCACCTGTGCCAGGTTTGCACGAGGGGCCATAAATACAGACGAGTGAGGCGAGAGGCGAGAAGAAGGAACCAGACAGCTCGAGGTGCTTTTTACGAGCGAGATGCGTTGCCAGTTGGTTTGAGACTCACTTTACCAAACCCCGCACAGCTTCTGCAGAAAGAACTTAGACTCTGGCCTTGTTCCAGATTACCAAATACAACTGAATGGTCGGCCCGAAAAAGTTACAGAGTGAAAGAAATCCGACTTCAGACTTGTACCAGTTTACCGAGCGTGGCTAAACATAGTGTCACGGGGTATTAAATGGGAAGGTATTAACAATCTGCATGTTGTTAATTTAGTGAGTAGAACGTTCATTGTATGAACCTTTGATATAAAGTTGTTGTGTTACACAGCTGTCTCTTACTTTGTTCCTTGTGACGTCATCTCTCCAAAGCTACCGGAACAGCGACGTTGAGTATACGACTCGGCCTTCGCCCGCTCTGTGATCTAAAACAAGCACAACGTGGGCATGGTTGGATTGAGGATCAGGGAAACCAACTCCAAGGCTGACCGTAGGGATCGAACACGGACTTGCCTGGTGGCTGTGACGTCATAATTGGAAGTATAATATAACGAATGACACAAACAAAAAAACAAAACAAAAAAAAAAAACCCCAAGAAACAACCCAAAAAACACACAGCTGTACGTTATTGCCTTCTCATCATCATACCTTGTCCGGTTTTAGTCGTGTGTCTCATTTACTTATCAAAAGCCCGTAATAGACTATGTGTAAAGGGTTGATCTTCGACTATCATTGACATCGATGGACACGAATATATATATATATATATATATATATATATATATATATAACTAGTAGAGCAGCATCAACCACAGGGATCTCATTGAATAAATCTGCACTTTTAAAAAATTTATTAAATACTCACATATTTTAAAATGGTTTATTATGAGTTATTTTACATAAATGATCCATAGAATTTACTTATTATTATTATAATGAGTTATTTTACATAAATGATCCATAGAATTTACTTGTTAAAAACAAGTTTATTTTCATTAAATTAGTTTTATATCAAAATAAATCACACACATTTACTATTAGTAAAAAATAAAATAAGTTTTTTTGTTTTAGCGAATGGTTATTCATCACCAACAAGGACTCAGAGATGCTTTTGGATTCTACCAATAGTGGACAATGAAGACTAGATAACGCCTTCCGATATATGTCACCACTAATCCATTTTCGGAGTGGGTTTATGGCATCTACGTCAGAGGAGAGATTAGCTAAACAGTTCATATCTATCTATCTATCTATCTATCTATCTATCTATCTATCTATCTATCTATGTCTGCCATTCTCTTTCTCTGTCTGTCTGTCTATCTATCTATCTATCTATCTATCTATCTATCTATCTATCTATCTATCTATCTATTCTCTTTCTCGATCTATCTATCTATCTATCTATCTATCTATCTATCTATCTATCTATTCTCTTTCTCGATCTATCTATCTATCTATCTATCTATCTATCTATCTATCTATCTATCTATCTATCTATCCCATTCTCTTTCTCGATCTATCTATCTATCTATCTATCTATCTATCTATCTATCTATCTATCTATTTATTCTCTTTCTCTATCTATCTATCTATCTATCTATCTATCTATCTATCTATCTATTCTCTTTCTCGATCTATCTATCTATCTATCTATCTATCTATCTATCTATCTATCTATCTATCTATCTATTCTCTTTCTCGATCTATCTATCTATCTATCTATCTATCTATCTATCTATCTATCTATATATGTCTGCTATTATCTATTTAAAGGCATGTGCGAAATATCTAACTTCTTGCATTTTCACTATCTAATGTCTGCTAATCTATCTATCTATCTATCTATCTATCTATCTATCTATCTATCTATCTATCTAAGTTAGCTATTATATATCTATTTCAAGAGATGCGCGAAATGTCCACTGAGTCATGGGAAATGCTAAGTAACTTGACAGATGGACAGTGTGATCAACCTGGGAATTCAGGGTAGAGCCGAATATATAGATGCCATAAACCCACATTGTGTGTCAACAGGGAAGAAAGTCTTTCGCGTTCTCTTTCTATAATGAACTCTAATCTAATGGAATGCGCCACTTCCAATAGTGCCTGCACACAATCTTACAATAAAGTCAAAATCCGAACGTGTCACGTATTTGAACCAGATTTTTGGCCTTAACATTGACGTTCTAAAGAAGAGTTCTTCAAAGAATTCTATATAGGTATTTGATGTCACTGGAGAGAGTGGCGTTTTCGTAAACAGGTCTTTCTCCTGTCATTACCCTTATTGGATCACAACTGTGTCATCTGTATCTAAAGCTTCAACATTTTCATGAGGTTATGTATTGGGATTCTGTCACTTTCTCCAAAAGAGGGACTCTATTCCATTTTGGCAAAATCATCATCAACCGAACGTTGGTAAACAACCTCCCAGCGCCTAGATCCTCAATTCTACAAAATAGGACTGAGTTAGTCATATTTCTTTCTGATGGAGAATCCCAAACTGGATTAATTATACTAATCAACTTTCTGACTGACAACAGACTGGGCACTTGTAGCTAACAATGGTGGGTCGTAGTGGAATGCTGACTTGATGATTATTCAAATAGAGGCCGTGACTTTATAAACCATTACCTATTTGCCTAAAAGAGCCGGATATAAAGGAGAGTGGATCAATGGACTTATTAAGTAGGCGTTGAATTGAAATTTCTCTGTATGATATTTGAGCCTAGGTGATGAAAATCTTCAGAGCTGAATTGTTCAATGGAAACGAGGAAGATTATGCTGAAAATAAATATTGCATTGATTAAATAAATCTACTTTCATCATTAGGCTACGAAAGGATTCACAATTTGACGGGATAATGAAATGTTCTGGGTCCGACCAAGAAAGGATACCAAATAAAAATTATGAAGGGTGGTCATTTGCTCACATTTTGAATAGAGGGTTGGGCTGAAAACATTCCAGTTCCTAATCATGCATAGATAAATATATAAGAATATCTATCTATCTATCTATCTATCTATCTATCTATCTAACGTATGTTCATCTATCTATCTATCTATCTATCTATCTATCTATCTATCTATCTATCATCTCTCTCTCTCTCTCAGTCTATCGATCAAACGTCTGCTTTTTTTCTCTCTCCTATCTCTCTAACGTCTGGTAAGATATCTCCTCTCTCTCTATCTAATGTCTGATCTATCTATCTATCTATCTATCTATCTATCTATCTATCTATCTATCTATCTATCTATCTATCTAACGTATGTTCATATATCTATCTATCTATCTATCTATCTATCTATCTATCTATCTATCTATCTATCTATGCTCATCTCTCTCTCTCTCTCAGTCTATCGATCAAACGTCTGCTTTTTTCTCTCTCCTTATCTCTCTAACGTCTGCTAAGATCTCTCTCCCTCTCTCTCTATCTAATGTTTGCTCATTTCTTTCCATCTATCTATCTATCTATCTATCTATCTATCTATCTATCTATCTAATATGAGCTAATCTTTCAATTTCTGCCTGTATGTTTCTCTCTCTCTCTCTCTCTCTCTCTCTCTATCTATCTAATGTCAGCTAATCTCCTACTTCCCCCTCCCCCTCTTTCTATCATGCTAGCCATGTAGACTAATAAGTGTGCTCAATACTGAGCTGAATATTCCCCCCGCCCCACACCTAAAAAAAAAAAAATCCCAAAAACCAAAAAACAATTTCTCAATAAATAAACAAATATCTGCTGGGAGATCAACAATCAAATTCGATTTTTAACTACTGCAGCGAAACACAATTCTTCCGCATCTCCTCACCAACCCACACGCCACCACCGCCAGACACTTTAAGCTGGCGCGTCACGTGGATGACATGTTGGATTTCGGTGGGGGAAAAATACATGGGTGTGGTCTACCTCATAAATATTCATGAGGTCATCAGTGTAAATGGCTGAAACTTTGGTTTATTAGGCTTTACCAGTCGAATCGAATAAAACGTTGAGTGCACACGAGACGGCGCCCACCTCCTCCGCCTGTCGGCCATCGAGGACATTATTCATGGCGGACAAGATTTACGGGCGGCAAAAAAAGTAGCAATATTAAAAGTATAAAAATAAATGTGGTCTGTATCTGTATGTGTATATAGGAACGTTCGCCTATTAAATACAATCATATTAACAATGTGTGTGTGTGAGTGTGTGGAGGTGCATTTCAATGTATATTGTGTGTGTATACATATTTGTATATGTCAAATTATTTGTAGAATAAAATCGTTTTCTTAGCGTTAAATAAATTGGGGAGTAATTAACGTAAACATGTAGTTCCAGATATATATGTATGAGGTGCTTTATCAAAATTCCTTGAAACTGTTGGTTGCTTGTTTTTTTTTGCTTTTTTTTTAGCGGTATATCAACGTCATATTTTATACGCCATATTATTTTAGATAATAACGGTTTCAGTGATACAAATCTTACTAATTAACCTAAAACTGGAGAGAGAAGAGGTGGATTCATACCTTTCAAATGAATCTCTAATCAGTTGAGGTGAGAATTGATCAGTACTTCCTAGATAAGATCCGTAGAGCCCAGTTTGAGCATTTCCATACGCTTGTCAATACGTCTGGATCTGCGTTTGTAGAACAGCTGTTAAATGATCCGATTTAAAGCTAGTCTTTTACCAGAGATGTTTTCTCTGTAGTCAGTAGAGTATATTCGGATTAATATTGGGGAGGGTTTGAGGCCCTTTAGATCTAGGCCACTACCCTCAGTAAGCAGAGCCTTGCGATTGAAACACCTGTTCCCGTACGATCACCGAAGTTAAGCCTGGTCACCACCTAGATGGGTGACCGCTTGGGAATACAGGTACCGTAAGCTTGGATGTGCAGGTGGTGCAATGGATAATGGCTCGGAATTGTCAATCGAAGATTCGAGTTCTATTCCTGTTAGGTTTGTTATATTCACTTACGAGCAAATATACTTGGGAAAAGTATGAATCCACTTTGTCTCCCCGCCCCAGTTGTGGGTTAAATTTTAAGATTTATATCATTAAAACTATTTAAAAAAAAAAGAGTACAAAATATTTAGATTTCGGCATTAAATAACCCATAGAGGTGTTTATATGCCGCTAAACAAGTTTTCTGTGAATTTCTGGGATGCCATTATTTACACTATCTATATTCGGTCCTCATCTTTGTTGTTGATAAAAACAACAATGATGAGGATAATTATGAAGTAATCATTCCGTTATTTATATTGAGATTTTCTGGTAGAATTTGTTCTTCCCCGTTTGGTAGACTTTGTGCGCATATTTATGTTTTGCTCTCGATTGAGCTCTGAAGAGCGAGGAACGATATTTGGTTAACGTTATTTTTTTGTTGTTGTTTCTGTTTTGTTATAATTTGCTATTCCACACTTTACGGTGAGTAATATTTCTTCTTTTCCTTGCTTGTCCTTTTGCCTTTGTTTCGCTATATTTGGATATATTATGTGAATATATATTGTTTAATATGGCCGTTTGGTACTTATTGTTTAGCGTTTTTCTTATCTACGAAAAAGAGATGAGATTTCTTTTTTGAACTAAGTGTATCAAGAAAATGTACAAATGCATTTCGTTCTGGGGGATTTCGGTTAACCTTTTAGCCATTTAAAAGGTTTTCTCTTGTGCTATTGTAAATAATAAGTAGGTTGCTCAGATACAGACATATTTTCTAAGTTCCGAAGACAGCCCCGTCCTGTGTATGACGATAAACTGCATCCGCGTCCTGGGTAAGACGATAAACTACGTCCAACAGCAAGGCTCCTTAGGAGGTTTTGAGGAGCGTGGAACCACCTCTTAATTGCTGGTGTTCCCAGGTCCACCCTGACCCGTGGGGGTAGCACCTGTTAGGGTCCCAGCTTAACACCCAAACTGAGGTAAAAAGTATTATGAAAGTGTAAAAATAGATTTTAATACCAGAAATACTTTGTAAAACATTATTGCCAGAAATAAATTTTTGATGAAAAAAAACTATCACCAGCAATACATTTTTCAAAAAAAAAAAAAAAAAATATTGCCAGGAATACGTTTTTGAAATAAAATATTAGCAGCATTACTTTTTTTGAAATAATATTACCAGCCATACATTTTTGAGGAAAAAAATATTACCAGAAATAGATTTTTGACAAAACAAAATATTACCAGCAATAAGAATTTTGTCGGCATTAAATAACCCATTGATGTTGATATGCCGTAAACCGTACCGAAGACGGCTAGTACATTATAGAAGTGTTCGTATTTGATGTTGTTAAAGCATATTTTTTTTATGACGAGGGCTTCTACGATTTTGGGGCGTTTTTTTTTTTATTTCTGTTCCTACATTTCTACATATTACATATATCATATTTGTAAACACACACACACATATAGTTCTAAAAAATTAATAAATTTATTTTTATCTGAAATTTTTATTACTCCAAACGTTGGCTATTTAAAATACGAGTGTTCATGATGATAATGTTTGAATTAATAATAATAATAATAATTATATATATATATATATATATATATATATATATA